GTAATTTTAGCATTTATTCTTTTAGTATTTAACATTTTCTTTGTATGGTAGTATAATTTAATCTTACTAGGATAGTAATCTAATATATCATCTAATTTTTTTTTTTGAGATAAATTCGTCTCAGTATTCTTAATCTAATTCTATTTGCATAAAACTTGACTATAAATACATTTCTAAACTCTTTGAGATCATCATTCAATGATTCAGTAAAATATTTTGAGAGTTTATCAATCTGGTTATATGATTTAATCAAACCCTTAAATGTGATACTAAAGACTCCTAGATGTAATATCTAGGAAACCTAAATTTGCTATCTAGATTTTTATTCTCAAATCATTAAGTATGCAAATTGGAACTACTTTGTTCTACGTCAGCATCTAAGAACAAGATCAATGTTTTATGTTCTATTTGTGTAAGACTTACTTGACACTGTACATTCATTTGTGATCTCTTTGAGACAATCATTCAATGATTCAGTAAAATATCTTGAGACTTTCTTAATGTATGATTCAATCAAACCCTTAAATATGATACCACAAACTCTTAGATGTGATGTCTAGGAAACCTAGATGTGGTATCTAGATTTTGTTTCCAAATCGTTAAGTTTGCAAATTAACATCAATTTGTCCTCCATTAGTATCTAAAAAAGAGATCAGTGTCCATCCTTCATAGTGGGATGAAATCATTGAAAAATTGATGAGGATGGGTAAGTCCATGTTAATAATGGTGTTGTTGGGGGCATTCTTAATTTGTGGAACTGATTGAAGCATTAGAATGACCTGATGCCTTCTTACAGGTAAGAGAAAAATAAAAGATTACGCTGTGTTTGTTAGCAAAAAGAACGAGGTAGTTTCTTTTTACAACCTTAATCATGGGCAATAGTTCTGAAGGCCATAAGGCGATGCACCTTAATGCCAATTCTTTTATTCCAAATGTTCTATAATACTCAGTTTTACCTTGTATGCTATCAAGATATTTGATTCCCTATAACATTATTGGTCAATTTTAACATGAGTTTAGCATAATCTGTCAGAAATCAAAAGCTGCAAGAGTAGTTACATGTTTCCATTGTCATGTGATTTTGTTTCTTTACGTAAATATGCCATCTATTATCCAGGCATTTCTTGATCTTGGTGAAGTGTTGATTTCATCTGATACTGGTGCTGCTCTTGATGCCTTCAAAACTGTAAGTGCTTCCGTTTTGCTAATTGCTATTCTGTCAAAATTATCAATATGATGTTCATAATACGAAAGGAAATTCTCTGTTTAAGTTCTAGTACACTTATTTTTCTTGTTTCGTATCAATGCTCATGTTTAAGTTTTATTTTGTCTCCTTTTGATGATATAAGACTATAAAATATTGTTACAGGCACGTAGTCTTATGAAAAAGGCAGGTCAAGATGTACCTATCGAAGTGCTCAACAACATTGGAGTTCTACACTTTGAGAAGGAAGAGTTTGAGGTTCGTTCAATTGTAGTGCTCGGAATTTGTTCGATGCAGTGGAACCTTTCAGATGGAACTCTTTTCTAATATTTTCTTATTTTTAGATTGTTGTATATCCTTTTTAACTTGATTTTCTTTACTGCAAATTTATATTACTGTTTGACCAAATAGCTTCATGACTTTGTTTTCAGCTTGCTCTGCAAGTTTTCAAGGAGGCTCTAGGTGATGGGATATGGCTTTTTTTACTTGATGAAAGTGGAAAGTCTTTTGAAGCTGGGTCATCGATTCTAGAATATAAGGACATGCGATTATTTCATCGTCTTGAAGAAGATGGTCTTCCTGTGCAGCTACCTTGGAATAAGGTTACAGTTTTGTTTAACCTAGCAAGACTACTTGAGCAGATGCATAATGGAAACACAGCAAGCTTATTGTACCGACTAATATTATTTAAGGTGTGTATAAGTGTGTTTGGCTTCTCAAAGCAAGCGAATGAACATAAGGATCACAATGTATGTAGTTCTCAGTGTTTGATGTTGGACCTGGTTGTGATGTTTCTGTCAGATTTAATATTTTTGAGAAGCTGTGTTCTATGAGACCACCCATACCAACACTTTAGTTTTAGTAGATGGTATTAGCCTTGTGAACCTTGCTTCAAAATCACTCACTTTCCGTGTATGTTGTTTTTGTAATCTTCTTTTCCTATTTTTCACCTACTTAAGTTTCTTGATATTACATGGTTTAATTGGTATCTCGTGTAGGGGCTGCTATATATATATATTATCCAACTTTATTTGTTCTTTCTTCGGAGCATCTAGACTGCTTTATACTAAGATAAGATAAACCATGTATATTTCTAGATTCTGATTAACCTACTTATGCTTTTTTGCAGTATCCAGACTACATAGATGCATATCTGAGACTTGCTGCGATTGCAAAAGCTCGAAATAACGTTCAACTGAGTATTGAGCTGGTTGTAATTTCTGATAAATGTGCAGATATTTATTTCTTTTTTGATTGCGTATATGTGTGTGCTTGTGCATAAATACATGTCCATTTGCGTAGTTCTTGGTGTGTAAATTATGATATACAATATCATCTCCTTTTTCACCCTTTTTTCCCTCTTTTTTCTCTCTACTAGGTTCATGAGGCTTTGAAGCTGGATGATAAGTACCCAAATGCGTTGTCTATGCTTGGTGACTTGGAGCTGAAAAATGATGATTGGGTTAAGGCAAAAGAAACATTCCGTGCTGCAAGTGATGCGACTGAGGGGAAGGATTCTTATTCTACTCTGTCTCTGGTATTTATTCTTTATCATGGTTGTTTTTTTTTTTAAATTATTTTTTATAAAAAATGAAAGAGTGAATTATAGGGATAGTTAAGATAGGGGTATAACTATAACCAAGTCTATTATGTTTAAAAAATAACAATTTAGTTTAATCATCATCTCACTGTTACAGAATTATGTAAAGGCTAATACTTTCATTTCCGGTGATCCTCTTACACTATTTTTTTGTAGACACCCAGTTCTTTTTATATTCTGACCACTGTTTCTTTTTTGCCGCTTGAGTTAGGGGTAGCAATTCGTGCCATTCTAGTCAAAATGGATTGTCCCAGTGTGACTTTATCCCTAAAACTAAACCCGACTTGTTTAATAATTGTGAC